TTTCGGTCGGATAATTTTGCAGAGAAAAACAAAAGCTAAGCTGGCCAATTAGTACAAAGCAGCTAAATCGAATTCAATGCTCAACCCAAAAATACACAGCATGACGTCAAATGTACTATTCCTCTGAAGAAATCATCAGATGAATCCAAAATGCTAAAAAATACAACATCACAAGCAACCATTCCAATACCTGCAGAACGCGGTCGAAGTGCGGCCCGGACACGACCTCGCTGGAGATGACGACCACGAAGGTGCTCCCACGGTGGCCCCGGATGTACGGCCACGCCTCCCGGAAGAACCCCACAAACTCCTCCCCGGGGACCACGGCGCCGGCGCCGGAGCTACCAGCCGCGCAGCACCGGACGCCGCGGCCCCGCCAGCGGCGCGTAACGGCTACCCGCCACCGCGAGGATGAGAGGACATTTGCGGAGGCTAGGACCTTGGGCCGCGAGGCCTCGCCCGCGAGGCGGGCCACGACCGTCGAGGTGGCCATAAAGAAGCTTCCAACCCTAGGCAGGAGGCTGTAGCCTGTAGGGAACGGTTCTCGGGTTCTGTTTTAGCAGCCTCGGACCTTCTGACGAAATAGAACTTTGGGCCTCGTTTAGCTGCGCCGATTTCGCGCCGACTGTAGCTACAGTGCGTTTTGTTTTTATTCGGTAATAATTGTCCCATCGTTGCCTCGGACCTTCTGATGAAATAGAACTTTTTTTGATAAAAAGTTTGGAATTGGGGACTAAACCAACCACAAAATCTATAACTTTTATTTATAGGTAGAACTCCAAATCCAAAACAGTATAAGTGATTGTAGCTACTCTGTAATCTTTTTGATTCCTAATTACTTTCACGAGTCTTGCATGAGACCGTATTAGTTTAGTTGATATTTATGACTTCCACCTTTTATTTATATATAAGAGTCCCCTCTAAAGCACTCTACGAGTAGAATTCTATACGCAATCCTAATAGAATTAGAAGTGCTAGTAGTAAATCTCTCTTAATCCTTTTTTTGCGAAAAAAATCTCTCTTAATCCTAATCAAATAGAATTTTAGTAACGATCGAGGGAGAACACGTCGTATGGTTTTGCAGCAACAACGCCGTTGTTTAGGGAAGCCGGTTCGCGCGACGAGGATCGGATCGGGGTTTGGGCTTTTTCGTGAAGCCACAAAGACCCAAAACTAAGTATTAGGCCGGATTAGGCCCAGTCCATTTTGCCCTCGAGGGGACGAGCTCGATTTCCGCAGTTTCGCTGTCGCTTTGTACTTATAGGGCCCAAATGCGGTGACCTTTGTTTTCTTCTTGAGCTAAGCAGCAGAAATTAGTCACAGTCACAGACTCACGGTTGAATCGAGACGCAGCGAATGGTTCCCACAAAGTCACAGCTAGAAAAAACCGTTTTTCTCGAGAGAAAAAAGTGATCCAAGTCCATGTGGAGTATACTCCTATACAGCTATACTGTATATATACTACAAACACGTCGTTACGGAAAGATCGTCTACAAAACAAAACATCCAGTGTCGGTCACTGGTGCCCATGAAGCATGAACGAACTGCACCAGCAAAGGCTCGCATTCACTGTAGCATGGCTCCTCGCCAACAGCTGTAGCGCAGCGCGCACAGGCGGCAGAAGCACCGGATCATCATCTGTTCGCTTCATTGTTTTTATGCCTTATAAACCGACTCATACTATTTTGTTGTAAGAGAAAAACACTGTATCATAACCGATAAACAAGTGAATATGTGCATGCTACTGCATTGCGGCGTGTCTGGCGGTCTGGCGTCGTCGCAGCCCTCGCGACGCGCGCCGGGTCCTCTCTCTGAGACCCCCTGACCCCGCCCCGCTCGGGCCGGCCGCCCCCACTCGCCGGGGTAGGGAGCGCCTGCGCGCGCGGCATGCGTCGACCACGCACCCGCGCCCGCCAATGGCAGCGCGGCCACTCGTCGCGCCCCCTTCCTGTCCGCTCGCCACGGCGCGCAGCGCATGCCGCGCATGCAGCAGAAAACGATTACTAGCATCCAAAAGGCAGGCTAGCTCTCGGTTCCCGGGCGGGGAGACGGAGAGACGACGAGACGACGCGCCCCGGCCCGGTTGGTCTCGTGCGGCTGGCTACAAAAGGCTAGCTAGCTAGGCCCGTGGTCGCTTTGGAATGGCAAAACTGTTCGTCTGCTCCACTATTTGACTTATTTTGAATGATTTCGGATGATTGAATAGTGTTTTGTGGAAGAGAATAAGCTAAAACAAGTTGAAATAAGATGAAAGTAGAGCAGCTGGCTACTCTACTATTTGACTTATTTGTTGTTGATCTTTTGCTGTAAAACTTTTGTCATTTAAATTTTTAGTATTTGGTGTTTAGATGCATAACAAAACTTTAGCCATGCAGACACAACACGTGCCCCAAAAAGTTTTTTTTGTTCAGTTTTAGATCTCTTGGGTTCCAAATACCAAAAGTTTTACAGCCCAAGTTTTATTGTTTTTACCTATAGTGTTTAGATCCATTTTGTTAAAAGATAGAATAAAACAGTAAAATTTTGATCAAAATGAGGAACTAAACAGGTCCTTAATAGATAAAGTGACTAAAGTTTAATAGAGGTAACCAAACAGGCCTAGAAAAGGTGACCAGCTAACAGTGACCAGTTTTTTACGCCAATAGTAATAATACTTACTCTTTTTTCTTTAAATATATGTCGTTTTCGTTTTCGAGAAACAATTTTGATTAAATATATATTAAAAAATATTAATATTTATGGTACATAATTAGTATCATCGGAAGGATCTTTGAATCTAGTTTTTAATAAATTTATTTGGAAATACAAATATTGTACGTATTTTCTACAAATCAAGTCAAACTTGTCACACGCACACCAACCACGACAGTTATTTAGGGAGTGAGTGAGGGAGTACGTATCAGGGCAGTCCCAATAAAAAAACTAGTCATTTCTATAACGTAGGATACCGCACCAAAAAAAGTACTGCTTTTCAACCCATGGTTTCTACGAGTAATAATTATTTTTTCTTTCTCTCTCCCAACTCTATCTTCTTCCTCCAATGGAAGTGCGACACGAGCCCTCTAGAAACTGGTGGATTCTCCCCAATGACAATTTCATGGTTTCTTGGTGCATTGGGTCAAGAGTAGACCTGATTTCTTTATGAGGAAACCATTTTTATGATTTTTGTTCTCTTTCTCCATTAATTACGTTGTCATGTCAGCATTTTATCTACGTGGTAAGTCATTTAATGATGATAGAAACCATCTCGATACAACGTTATGTATGGTACAGTACTGGCTTATTTATATCTGTAGATTTCGACTGAAAAGCTAGGATAGGTAGTACGCCCGATTCCTGAGAAATTAAACACAGTAAATTTGAGCTTGACTAGAGGACGGAACGGAAGACGCATGCATTGGACGACGTACGCAAGCGTCCCGTCCCATCCAAGTCTGGCTATTCACCCTGCTCGTTTGGCTTAGGCATTGTGACTGGTTAGTTCCCAAAATTTTACAATTTTTTAAGATTTTCACATCAATCGAATCTTTGACACATGTATGAAGCATTAAATATAAATAATAAATAAAACTAATTACACAGTTTAGACAAAATTCACGATACAAATCTTTTAAGCCTAATTAGACTATGATTGGACACTAATTGTTAAATAACAACGAAAGTGCTATAGTACCATTTTCCAAAAAATTTCGCCACCTGAACAAGACCCTTGTTTATTTTCTAAATTTTTTTTGCCTCCTAAGTAAAAGAGTATGTGTGGACACATGCATAGAGTACTAAATGCAGACGAAAAAACTAATTACATAGTTCTCGGCAAAATCACGAGACGAATCTTTTAAGTCTAATTAGTCCCTGAAAAGCGTTAAGTGCTACAGTAACCCACATGTGCTAATGACAGATTAATTAGTATCATTAGATTCGTCTCACAGTTTCCTGATGGATTCTGTAATTTGTTTTTTTTATTAGTATCAAAAACCCCTCCCGACATTCTTCCGACATATCCGATGTGACACCCAAAAATTTTCACCTCCCCAACTAAACACACCCTTATAAGTCATGGCTGAAAATACTGTTGGCTGGTTTGATATAAGAGAAAAATACTGTTCGTTAGCTGATAAGCCATAGCTTATAGGCCAAATACGACCAAACGAAGAGTCTGATTATCTCTAGCCCTGTTGCACGCCACGTGCTCAACAGCTCAAAGACTGTTCGTCGCCAACGTTTAATTCATCGACGAGATGACGCATTTGTCATTGCAGCTAGATCTGACAGATTTCTCTCAAGTTTATACGAGCGGTGACCAACAGCACGTGCAGACACGTTAACGTAGTGCAAGCATGTTCATGTAATCATGTTTGTGGTTAACAATCCGGTGGAAGTTCTCAAAAAACACAAGAGAGTAAAGTGCTTACACTTGCTTGTGTAGGAGTATATACGCCGCTGGTTGGTGGGCAATGCCGCAATACTGGCCAATGAAACCTAGCAACGCCCACTCGCCACGCCCCATGAATGGCCCGCACGGCAGCAAGCCAGCCAGTGCCCGCGCGCGCGTCCCAGCCAGCGGAACGCGCCGCGGGGAACGAGGACGAGGCGCCCGAGGCAGCGCGGCATGGCGAAGGTGATCGAGGGGCAACGCAAGCCGGCCAAGCGACCCGCATGCAGTGCAGCCCCCTCGCCCTCGTCGCAGGCTCTCTCCCACTGGAATCCACCCAACCGGCCCTTCCTCTCCAAAGCACGCGCCCCGCGACTCGGCTCCGCCTACGTGTCGGCAGCGTCCCCGCCGGTCGCCCACGTACCCCGCCGCGCTCTCCCACGTGCCCCTCCCTCTGCGCGCGTCCGATTGGCCGCCCCGTCCTTCTTAAGCCGCGCCTGCCCCCCCGTCCGGGCCCCCAACGCCGTGCTCTCCGTCGTCGTCCCCGCCCCAGAGTGATCGACTCCACTGACCACTGGCCCCCGAGCCTCAGCTCGCGAGTCCGCCGGCACCGGCAGCGCGCCTCGCCATGGCCATGGTGCAGCCGGCGGACACGGCCGTCAAGGCCAACGAGATCCTGGCGCGGTTCCGGCCCATCGCGCCCAAGCCCACACTGGCGGCGGCGGCGTCGCCGGTGGCGCAGGCCGCGGCCGAGGGCGTCGTGGCCGCCAACCGCGTGCTGTGCCATCTGCAGAGCAGGCCGTGCCGCGCGCGGAAACGCGGCCGCCCCACCGTCGTGCCGGTGTCGCCGCCCAAGTCGGGCTCTGGCGCGCAGTCGCCCGCCAAGCGGAAGAGAGCGGCGACGCCGTACCCGCCTCTCTGGTGCGCGGCGGCCACGGGCGCGCATGCGTCCGCGGTCGTCCCGGTCAGTGCGCGCCTCCTCCGCCGTCGCTCCCGCCGGCGAGTGCGGGCGCCGACGACCTCGCGAAGGTGGCGGCAGAGGGGAGGGACGTCCCCGTGGAGCGCGACCTGCTGCGGAAGCTGCTGGAGCCCAAGGTCATCTCGCCGCGGGCGGTGCGCCCCGTGTGCTCCGCCATCCACGTCGGGTGCATCCACCGCACCGGCGCGACCTGCACCGACGCCGTCTCGAAGACGGCGGTTCAGGTGGAGGCGGAGCTGGAGGTCGACGCGCTCCCGGCGGTGGTCTCCGACTCCAGCAACCGCGTCCGGCTCGTGAACGACGCGTACAAGGAGATGGTGGGGCAGCCCGAGTGCCCGTGGCTCGACGCCTTGGCTGCCACGTCGAGGAGGATCAGCGGGGAGGTGGCGCTGGTGGTAGCCGGCCAGTCCTCCCTGCCGGAGACGTACGGGGCGTTCACATGCACGGCAAAGATCGAGTGGGAGGACGACGGGAAGCTCACCTCCATCGCTGTACCCTGCGACGTCAGCCGGCTGCACTGCGAGTCCAGAGACTACCTCTTCACCTGGAGGTTCCGTACCGCCGACGCCAACGCATCCGTTGGCCACAGCTCCGAGGAGATCAGAGAGAGTTAGGGAAGCTTGCTTGAACTGCATCCTGTGTACACTGCAATGAAACCAAGTGCATAGGCTAAGCTGCTAGCTGCATGTTTAGAACTGATCAGTTTCCTCTTTCGCGAAGTCCATAGGATGTAGACCCAGTTCTGAAATCTGGAGTAAATATAAGATGTCGACTGGAGAATGCAAAGGAAATATAACCTGTACTTTCATGAAACTGATCTACTACCTGATTTTTCTCATTTCATAACTATGGGTTGCCCACGAACACACGGACATGCAAGAGTGGTCGTGCGTACGTAGCAGACTGGCAGCTCATGCGTGATATAGCCAAAAGCAAGTAGGCATCACCATTCAACTCAGAAATGGCATGATTTTTCAGATACCAGCCAAGCAAGCACACAGGATTGAAATACAACAATGCCATCCACGATCAAACGTTTTGGAAGGATACTATTTTGTTTGATTGCAGATCATGCTTATTACCAGTTTGATAGATGCATATTCTAGCTCGTACTTTCACAACGGACACCGTTGAAAGCAAAGGCGGTCCAGGAGGAAAACAACATCGTCCCAATGTCAGGCTCCCAGACTAGAGGTCTAGAGCTCAGGAGGAAAACAACATGGTCCCAATGTCAGGCTCACAGACTAGAGCTCTTGGGCTCATGCTTGCTCCGCCTTCGGGGGGCCTCTCCACTTGAAGTTCTCAGCGTAAGCCTTAGGCTGCATGGTTAAAAAACAATCCGGTTATCACAACCAAGCCTATGTATTTTCAGCAACACCGATCAGTGATCAGAACGAAAAATATCAATTCAAACATAAACACAATTATTCTATTAGCACAAAATATGGCATATGTGAGCCATATCTCACATGTGACAGACACCAAATGATGCAATTGGCTAGACAGTAATGCAAATTATCACCTTCGAATGAAGCATAGCGACAGAAAGGTAAATCATTTCTGAAGTTCATGCAATATAAATAGATACACTACTTTGAAATGTCCCAAAGCAAGCTTATGGCAGCAACTGTATTGCTTTAAACTAGCAATTGCTTCTATAACATTAAGGTAAAGTACACCTCGGGCCTGGCAGCCGTACCAAAAGCTAAAGTCCAGTCAAGCAAAGACTACTGGTAATGAGCCAGTTCCATCGCCTGATTGGACCTGTACCCGGACGGTCACTACAAACCAATAGCATGCACGATGCATCAAATAATTGGATCAGTCTTGTACAGTGCCAGGCAAGTACAGAAATAGATAAGGATAAGGAGGTGGATTATTGGCCTTACTGTTTAGCTTTCAGGACATTCCACAAGCATGCAAATTTTTAACTTCGATACTATATCACCTGTATGCCCGTATCTGTTCCTGACTGTTTATCAAATAATTGTGTTTTGATGTAGTAATGCAATTGCTGCTTGTAATTCTAATTCTGGCATAACATAATAGTGAACAACACATACCTCAAATGCTAAAGCAAAATCGCTGGTCTCAGGGATAACAAACCTAATTCTTAGAAGGCATATGTCTTACATGTAAGAATGCATGCACCGTGAGAGAACTGCCAAAACAGCAGTCACATTGCATCAACAGAAACATCGATTCAACCTACGAAGTATATGGCAGCTAGCACCTAGCAGCTTGTCCTTATCCACATCCCACTAACGAAAGATAGGGTTCAAGAGTCAACCAGGATGGTAAAACTCCGCCAACTGTTCCATAGTTCACACATTCATATTCATCGTATCTACAGCATTAATGACAAATTTGGCTTTTTCTTCCCAACCTCTGACTTCTCAGTTATAAAAAAAATGTTGAAGGACTCGAACAACTTTCTTAAAAGGGAACATACAGTGGCCATGCAACATGTGAACATCAAGAAATCGGACAAATGCTACCATCAGCAGCAGGTTACCCATTTCAAGTGCCCATTACCTCTTTCCTTTCAATCAAACCTTTTTTTTTAACTAGACCAGGAGCACTGGCATATCATGTAAGACTCATATGGACAACTATACTGACCGCACGCTCAAATATAGGTGAGACTGCCCGAGAAATCTCAAAACACACCTAACGAGCACACGCACGCACACCCTACTCACACGCACGCACGCTCAGTTCCCTCAGGGTAAAATCCCCGGTGCAACACCCGGCTGATCCCAAGACTGGGAATCGAACTCGACAGGTGGCCTCCACAACGCGAGGAGCCACCACTGCGCTGTGAGCGCATTTGCTCGCAATCAAACCTTTACAATTCCTTTTCCTCCCTTCTGCCCTTCTCCATGCTGGTGTTACCCATGATGGTCAATCCCTCCCTCACCCCAAGGTAAGGTAGTCCCCACCTCAACCAGAATGAGCTCACGCACACACAAGCACCCACACAAGTCAGACCCGGACCCGAACTCCTACCTCCTCTACTATTCGAACCGTCGTCTTAATAATCCACAGCACAACTCTCTCACTAGGTTGAACACCACCCCCCTCACACTGCCTCTGCCACACATTATACAAGCATCGCATAATCTTTATCCACACAATCAGCACTAAGGTACACTGTAGCATTTAACATGTTTATGTCAAAGATGGATACTATTGTATTTATCATGTACAAACATGCTGAGACATGCCAAGTTGCACACAGAAAAATAAGGCTGTTTACTTGTGAAATGCATTTAAATTTAGTTCAGGTAATAAGATGTGTAGTAGATAGATAGCAATAAATAGAGTTCAAAAAAGGCTTCTAAACCAAAAAGATACTTCTAAGGTAGAAATCTTGTATGAAGCAAGACACTAAAATTTTGTCAATATTTTGCAGCTGAATTTTCATAATCTGACTGATTTTTCACCATACAGTCCACCCATGCAAATTAAGTATTCATCTATAGAACAGAAACTTGGATCTCAGATGTTCCAGGCTTCCAGCACTCAATGGTTCACTATCTTGCATATTACATATATACAAAGAATACATTTGCAGCAAGGTGTCATGTGGAAAGAGAATATATCTTGGAAACAAGATAGCATACCATTTCATTAAAGCATCATTAATATATCTGGAGAAACTTTATGGATCTTGTCCCTAACAAGTGTCTTTCACTTCACAGTTCTTACTTGAAACTTAAATTACTTCCTATGACTTGGCATTGCACTAAAACATGCACACAACACATACACTGAGGAAATAGTATATTCTACAGCCACAATGGCATTTGTAATTCAGATATAGCTGTGAGGGTTTGTACTGCACTGGGAAAAGAAACAGATGCACTGTTGACAGTATACAGCTGTATAAGATAAACTTTGCAAGAAGATGACAAGACAACTTTGTAGGATCTAAATACATGATAAAAGAAAAGCATTAACAAGTCAACAAGGATATGTAGGGAGACATACATACCTTCAGAAGAGGTGTATGGCGTTTCCGAACCTACAAAAAAAAGAGGCAATGTAAGTATAGTCCTGCATTTTTAAGAAACCTTAGAGGCTCATTTCAAATCATTGGATACTTCAACAGTAGCCCAAAAGAATATATCTAGAAAAAATACAATGAAAATATGGCTTCAGTTTAGTTCAGAAATAAAATGAAACACTATATGCATTCAACAAGAAAGCTACAAGCGCCAGTAGAATTGGAAATCAACAGTAGGTTTTGTAGAGTGATCTACCGGTTATCAATAGCAGTATAGCACTTGTGTTGAATAATAGCCCCATAGGGGCAATACCACAATAGATAGGAGTACACAGAAAGAACTCCAGTAACATATACATAAGGGTACTTCTAACACTACCACCAGGTATAGTGCAATACTACATCAAACAAAGTTATAGTGGTTGCAACTTGAAAAGATAGAACTTAAAGAAAGCAGCACAAGTACAAACTGGAAGCAAATAATTTGCATCGAAAAGCATTTCACGATTAGCTTGAGAAAAAAAGTAGGTAGTAAGACATTTTAGACAAAGTAGAGCACTACACCCTCACACTAGATATTGTCATCAACCTCATGTTTTCCACTAGTTGACAAAAATCAGTATGAAAATGCTATCGAGGGACTAGTATGTGACAGTAGAGCAATAACTATTATTTGGAAATTAACATTACTAAAAAAACTCATTATAACTGAAAAAAAACTATATATAGTGCGCATCTTGAAGTCTATGTTCATTTCTACCTCAATAGATGAACCACAAACAGATCTAGTTTGTCTACCATCACTGCTGTGTTAGACAACTAAGCATCAAAACCCTATAATTGCTTCCTCAAAATTTAACTTTATAAAGATAAAAGGAGGAGTAAAAAGACCCCAGCCACATGTTAAAAAGAGTGCCATTCAAGCTTGCTTCAATCTTTCCAAATAGGCCTGAAGTAGCAATTGCAAATAGAGCATCTAATTTTCGTGTGATATCTACAAGGAAAAAATGAAACCCACCACATAATTCCATCCATGTTTTTCAGCAAACGCCTTTGCTGACTCCGCACTGTCGAACGTAAGTCCTGCTTCACCGACATTAGCATATGGGTCCCCAGTAGATGTCCATCCCATCAACGGGTTCTCCCACCTAGCATGGATTCAAATGACAACCAATTTGTCAGAGGATGTCGGGGAGGGGGGATTTAGGGCCTGCTTGGTTGGCTTCTAAAATTTGCCATGCCAAAGATTTGGCAAGCTAAAAGTTGGGCAAAAAAATTGCCATAGATTTGGCAAGCCAAATGTGAGAGTTTGGCAAGTTTTGGTAGAAAACCAAATACTAGCCAAAACCATGGCTTGCCAAATCTTTGGCATGGCAAATTTTGGAAGCAAACCAATCAGGCCTTTATTTACAAGAAAACGATAAAAAAACAAACTGCAACAGTTGTCTAATTACTTCCTTCATTTGCAGTCAAATAATTTAATAAGCTCTGATGCAATCTGAGAACCCCATACAAACATGCATGACATATGGTCTACGTCCAAAAAATGAAAATAAGGAGAAATGACCACACTGGTCCAGCATCTGGTGTACTGGCCAAGGGACATTTTGCATTCACACCATTTTATAGAATTATAACCCTACAACAAGCTGCTACTCAACAGAAGAACCCATCATTACATCAGACGGATGGTAAAGTCATAATGCAGTTTCCAAGGGTGTGAGTAGTGCAAACCAAAAGTATGGCACTTAAACCCCACCCAACCCCCCCAAAAAAACAATAATAAACAATACGAGTATTGGCAGATCTAAATTGTATGATGTTACTGAAGTTCCAGTAACAAATAAGAATAATAGGAGAGTTTAAGAGAAAGCTAAGACTCTACAAAAGCATTGAAAATCGCAATGCATACTCAAGTATTAATCTCTGGGTATATACTCCCATTCCATCTTAAGACCATGTAATTTTGTAGTGACATTAAGTGATTGGAGAAAGGCACTTCAGCAGTGCATCAACAATTGGAAGTTGGTAACATGTAACTGTAAGATAAATCTATTAAGGTAGCCAATCTGACAGCAACAAAGCCTTAGGGATAAGATTCAGGGAGGCAAAATAGGATAAAAAAGCAGAACAGGAAGCATACTTTTGGGTTGACAAAAAGTTAATTTTCCACCTCCCGACTTTGCCTGAACCTTGCTGGGATGCAGTCCTAGCTGGTGAATAAATTAAAACCTGACAATTCACAAGGATAAGCTGACCAGTTGTGAAGAAGAAACTGAAACATTCCCATTGGCTGAGATGCATAAATTACAATAACAAAAACCAGAACATATCAGCAGTGAACATATCTGTTATAATTGACCCTCTTCATCTCAAAACATAGTTAGTGTCCTACTTATAAAACCAGACAATACTGCCAGTTCAACCAAAAAAAGAAAATGGAATCCATGCTTAGTATGGTCCAGTGTGTTAAGTGTTAACTAATAATTTTCCAATTAAAACTGGGAAAATGATAATTTAGTTCCTTCTGGAGTGGGTGAGAGGTTTTAGACTGCCGACCTACGGCCTGCACTCCACATGTCACAGGATGCAAAAGAACAGGGACATGCATGCTTTTGTCGCTTGAGTGACTTGGCTATATGTGAAGTTGTGAACCTTTAGGCTTTAGTTATGCACAAACATTTAACCTGCAGTAAGTATGGGCATATAGCTACTTTGAACCAACAATAGGACCAATGAAATGGGAACCATTGATTCAGTTATCTGGGTCTCAAGCTTGTGTGATGGGACAATACAACAATAAAGATTGGAAAGTTTAGTATTTAAGCCAATCGAGCAAAAATGGTGGTATATATTAAAAGCTTCAAACATAACAGTGCTACTTTTCTATCGGGAGATTTTGCTACAGGACACTAATATTTTGTGAAATTGCTGTGGGACACTGTATTTTTTTTCTTTGCTCTAGACACACTGGGCGGTGTGCCACAGCAAAGAAATTAGTGTCCCACAGCAAAGAAAAAATATTCCAATGTCCCACAGCAAATTTCACATAACTGGAGTGTGCCACAGCAAAATTTTCCTTTTCTATAAGATACAATAGACCAATGGGCAATGGCACACCAAACAATAGTGTTCATGAGGTGAAGCTTCTTCCTATAAGATCCAAATCTGATTCTGATATTTTATCTCAACATTGATTTCACAAAGCTCACATATGTTGCATCTAAGTGTAACTAACCCTGCACGCATCTATCCTGCTGAAAATTAGACAACTAACATCCACCCAACATAATCTAGGCTCTGAAGATGCTCAGTTTCCTGACCCAGACCTGCCATTTTCATCACAAATACTTCTAGAAGCAAGCATAAACGTGCCCATTCCTGTCACAGAAGACCCTCTTGGAGAGGAATCGAACTGGGTCGCCAACTCGACATGGGGGAAACCCACATCTTACACATGTTCTTCTAGTTCACAGCTTGACCTTCAGACCAATCGATAACAAAACAAAACAACGATTTAGCATCTGTATCCCACCCCATACTCCAACCACAACCGACACAACGATCCAGTCCCAGCGTCCCCGTATTGACTCCAGAACGAACATCTCTCAAGACGCCCGCATGGATCCACACCAGCTACCATTTCCCAGCTAAAAGCAAGAGAGGGAAGAGATGCACCGCGTTACCTTACGGCGGAGGTGCTCCTCAGGGATGCCGGAGACCATCCCGATCTCCCCGGGCTTGATCTCAACGAGGGCATCGGAGGCCTCCGCGGAGAGCATCCGCGCCGGCGCCGGCGTGAGAAGTGCGCGGCCAAGGGAGGGGAGGCCCCGCCGTAGCGGGGCGGCCATCTCGTCGGAGCCGTACACCGGAGAGGAGGCTGAGGGAGGAGGAGGAGCTTGTGAGCGTAGGCGGCCTGCTAATCTGCGGCTGAACGAGAGAATATGACGGAGCGCATCCTTCTGCTTGGGACGTCAGCCCAGAATTGTCGAGTACTGGGCCCATACAGTACACTGCATTAGGCCTTAGGTATGGGCTTCTCTTTCTTCTCAGTAAAAAGAGCAATGGATCTTTTGTAGGCCGGTCTCTGGCTAATTAGGCCAGCGAGGAAGAGTTTGTATGACTGTATCATGCATGACACTAAAAATGCATGGTATATACTCCATTCAGTCACAAATAAGTTATGCTTCGGTGACCCAGTCATCAAAATACAAATTTTACCAGTATCATCTTTTGTTACAATATGTGATGGAACACCTAGCAAAAGTGGTACTATTATGACATTAATTTTCGACAGATCATTTCCAAGTACCCAAACTCAGTACATAAACTGTTTAGAATACTTCTGCGCATTGTAATTCTTTGCTGCAACGCAGTGTCTGAACTAGTCGATCAAAAAACGAAAAGAAAAAAAATAAACAAAGGCAAGCAGAAAGACTTTGCATGGTGGCATATATACTAGCATGCGTGAAGAAAGCGACAGCAACCTTTCTTCAGTACATAAACTGTTTAGAATACTTATCTGCATTATGTATCTATCAACTCTTCACTCCTAATAAGCGCTGACTACGACACAGTCCGTCCAGAAGGTTTAGAATAATCAGCTGCCCTGACCCTGAGCCTGAAGTGCAAGAAACAGGAACCTCAAGCTAATCGATCCGTAGCAATCGGTCGGCTATCAGAGTCCATTGATCAATGGAAGCACAGCCTCATGATAATTGAGATTCTCACAGACCCAGCCGATGTAAGCAGATGGTGACAATCAGTGAATTTTCTCTACGTGTTGCATACTTGCACACGCTGATCCTTAGCCGCCACATCATTCTTCAGTAACTGACACTTGACCGCGCTTTCGTGCTAGGTTTCCGACTGTTCTTCTTCAGACAGAGTGTATACTAATTTCTCATCTTCATCCTATCCACGTACTGGTCAGTCAGAACATGACAGGATTCGTTAACCTAACCACAACGGAAATCCAAACTACCTTATGTCAGCTCAGGAACTCTGGTTTGCCTATTCTCCCCCTTGTTTTCGTTTGACCTGACGCCAAATGTAATAGTATATGATACATACCGGGAGACTGCATGGAAGAGTCGCAGCCTTTGATCCGTTCAAGTTCAAGCACGCATCTGTTTACCTTTACTTGCCGTGATGATTAAATTGCAGTCTCCATATATAAACAAACCTGGGCTCCTTCAGAGTCCACGCCTTGGCCAGCAATCAAACCTGGCTAGCTGCAGGTCAACAGCCCCATCGCGAGGGATGCAGTGCAGACGAGGACATCATAATCTTGCACAGAAAGTTAGGTGTGTAATCACTAATCACTGGCACGCACCGATGGAAACCGTGAAAACGACGCTCAACTCTCGTGCCGCTCGTGAAATAAACCAGCGCGCAGTAGTGGCCGTTTCAGCTGTGTGTTAGACTTTGGATGATGGAATTAAATGCAAGATAGGGACTTAATTACTGTACAAGCGCATTTAACTAAACATATAGAATAACACATTCTCACCTTAACTATGTAATGCATTTTGGTGGTGAAGCATCGAATCGGTTGGATGAGTTGGACGGGTAGCAAATTAAAATTAGCAACAAGCTAGTGCACAAGAAACGTCGTACGTCAGCTCGAGCGTGGTATGCTCTTGGAAAATTCCTGCATTTGGTAATGAAAACACGGACTATTCACCGAGTCAAACGTGGCAAACAAGGCAGGGGAAATGGATTGAATAGTTGCTTCGCCCCTCCACGCTTGACCAAGCGCGAACTGCCCTGCGCGGCTGCGCCATCCTCTCTTGTCCTGGTCGTCCCACCCAGAGTCCAGAGACCGGACGAACGACTCAGCACGGATGGATGGCGAGGCCGATGCGTGACAAAAGCCACAAGCAGCTCAGGCTTGCAGTGCTGCTCCAACGTCCAGGGCTCTATAAGAAAGAAGTCTTGGTCGTCCCCGACACGGGGGGGAAGTCGCAAACGGTATGCGAGAAATGATGTTCTGCGGCGCGGGCAGCTTCAAGGACGTCGACAAGGAGGAGGGCGCCGGCGCCGGCGCCGGCGCCGGGAAGCCGGCCGCCAAGGCGAAGACGAAGGCGGGAGGCAAGGCGAAGCAGGGGAGGAACAACAACCCCTACGCGTCGCGGGGGCTGGACAAGTTCTCCGTCGTGCTGTCCGAGCTGGAGTCCAAGCGGGAGAAGATCCTGCGGCGCGTCGGCTCGGACGTGGACGCCGACCATCTCATGGTCCGGTTCGTGCAGTCGGAGAAAAAAGGGTGGGTGCCCATCGTCGTCAAGCTCCCGCACGAGGAGGAGCAGCAGGCCGCCGGCGGCGCCAAGAAGAGGCAGGGCAAGCCGGCCTCGCAGTCGTCCACTCCGCCCACGGAGCCTGCCAGCCCCAAGGAAGACCCCGTGGCGGTGCAGGGCGAAGGCAACCGTGCAGCCGGCGAAGAAGAGTAAGGCCGGCGGCGTGCGGTGGTCCTGGGCGTGGGGAAGGAAGATGATGAGTCCGTGCCGTTACTGGCCGCTGGCCATGACGCTGCTGCTGCTGTGCCTCGTGGTGTTCGGGAGGGTGTTCGCCATCTGCTGCACCTCCATTTGGTGGTACCTCTTGCCGATCTTGAGCGGGGAGGAAGCCCTGGGCGCCGGGAGATCACCAGCGACGACGGCGACGAAGCCACGCAAGGATGTCGTTGGCTTCAAGGCCGGCGACAAGATAGCGGTGGCGCCGCCTCCTTCGCATGGCAAGAGGAGCAGCAGCGCTGGCGCCGCTCATGAGATGATTTCACCGAGAAGCCATGCACATCGAAAGAAGGGGTAACTTTGCAGGATGCCTTGTGCTGTAGTTTGTAAATTTTGTGTAGTTGGGTGGCCAGAAAGATCAGATTTTCGTGGTTATCTTTCCTCCCTTTGTTAGAGTTGATTTTACTCCTCTTTTCGTGCCTGTAAAAATGTACATCAGCAGCCCCTTTTGTGTGTGGCTACCCCCAAAAGTGTTTATAAAGCATCGATAATTCGGATATAACTCCTGATACTGGTATCATGGGTGTCTCGCAAAGTTCGTAGCCTGCTTTTACCTCGAGCCACTCTTTCATATAATGACAATTTCTCTCTGTGTCGCATGCGGTTTTACCGACCCATCCGAGAAGTGAGCTTGTTCTAGATTCAGGCATGTGCAACGATCTGCATCAGCGTGCACCAAGGGGGCATGAAACAAAAGTCAGTCATGTGTACTTCTGGATGCTTGGAAATATACCGGCTGGTTGACATTCTAGACGAGAAGATTCAATGAGCCTGTTCGCTGATTGGTCGTTGTGAGAGAAAAACACTGTTGGTTGGCTGATAAACCCTGCCTGAAACCAACAATATTGAACGCAGGTCGATGCATGATCACGTGCCACATCGACACCGTGACTGCACACAAACGTTTTTAACGCCAATGCCAAATTGCAAAATCCACCTATCACAGGCAGGGATGCACATCCCCTTCCATTGAATTGTCATTCTCGACCTTAGCCTTGATCCTCTACACAGAAAATAGCTTATCCAAACCAGAAAAGAGTATTGTTTTGGTCTCTAGAAAGACCCACCTGCACGGATGTATGGCTGTACCCGATCTATCGTCAAAGCTTGGCACGTGTAGGCTTACCCGTCCCTATGCTCATTTCTGAAATCATTCATTACACTGAAGTCTGAACTCAGATGCCATTGTGACTGATCAATGAGCATGGGTTCAGGCACAGATGCTCAATATGCTAAGAATTCTTTGCAAAGAAAAAACAGTTTTGTTTAGTGGTGCACTCTGGCCTCAGGGTATCAACAAGTATAAAACTGATACTAATAATAACTACCAATTAGTAACTATCGGAATGGATTTTTCTGTTCGGTTAATTGTGAGCAAAGGAGAAATATTATAACTTGAAATCTGAGAATGAAACAATACATTGGTACAACGCAACTGTTTTCCCTCTCCAAAGGACAAAGAAATCTCGGTCATGCCATGGGCTTGTGTCATCAATCCTGAGTCACAACAAAGGGGAAAAAAGGTTAGAAACTTTGAGTGCATATACACAGGACATAGTTGCACGTGGAACACAATGAAATTGGTAAGATATAAAATCCACAATAATGGCTAGCATCTGAATATACCGACCAAGAATTTGAAATGAAACAATGTTACAGAAAATTAACAAAAACAGGCAGTATTTCACTAGAACCATGAAAAGTTGATCCACAAAAAAAATGGCAGCTACCATTCACATGAATAATTTTCTGAAGAAGGCTGCCCACACCACATAGAACAGTAGACAATAAGAAACCTTGATATGGTAACTTACCCTGAATCTCTTCCTATAATCTGACTCAATTCGTGAAGTGTGATGTTTCCTCCGGCCATGAACCGACACTGATGAATCCCTCTCCCCTAAATTGTTACGGGCTGGCTCATATTGAGCAATGCGAAAGAAACCTTCATGGTCCCAAGTCACGTCATAGTCTACTTTCAACCGTGATCCTTCCTTCAGAAACAAAATAAAGTTAGATCTCATTATGTTTCCAAAATGATAGAATACAAACAATCACTAGATGTCATCAGCCAATTCTGAAAGGAAAAGGTATTGCAAATGTGTCTCATTAAGTGTTTATAAAAAAGAGAAGTTGTCATTTCAAATGTGTGTTAAGGTGGAACAAATGATGCTTCTTGAAAAGGCTGTCTCAGTTACCTTACCACTCAATAGAGACATGCAAGGAAATGAGCAATTCCTAACAATTGTTGCAACTGTCAATTATCATACCAATACTTCGAACTTAAGGTTACAATATTTACAAGCATTTCGAGCTGCTTCGGGTTTTGTTGTCCTTTACTAATTTATGATATGTGTACTCAAATTAGTGCACACCACTACAATTCATTAGGTTTTCAGTACATGCACTGCAAACTTAGGCACTTTCAAGATCCTGAAATGGTTCTCCACAGGGTTTCCCAGACAAGAGAGTGGAAAGCAAGCCATAAATGTTACATAAAGTAACAAAGATTGATAATATCTATAACTATTTGAGATGTTTATGTGATTATGTTGCGCATGAGCACTTGAGAAGGGCAAATGATATGGAACGCCCATACAATAGCACTGCGGGTAGACAATTCAATCCTTATGGAATGAATTATGAATCAACTTAGGTGCCATAAATATAGAGATGAAGCAAATGTCTCTGATTTCACATGTTGCTTCATTATGTGTTCTAATAAGAATGAAGCGTTGAAAAATGATACATAACTGAAAAAGAAATCTTACCTTCTCTAAAGAGCGTCCACATAATGCCTTCATTGCATCGTCGAAGTCATCATAGTTCTCAAATTGCACCCAAACTTTGCAATTAAGTCCAGATATGAGCTCCTTATTGGCTCCATCTCCTTTTGCTTCTATCTCGTCATCATTGGCAATCTTTAGGTTCCTGAAATTTGGATGGAAGAATGTTGCAAGGAAGTACTCATTTTAAAAGTATCACAGACAGTCAAATGCATTGCATAAACCAGTACTAATTAACTGAGATTTTTTTCATCATATTATTTTGAAGGCCAGTCAGGTAAAAACTAGATGAATACAGATACCAATGAAAAAAATGAAATTGAAGGATCTCTGCATCACCACTTCTGTGAAGCCAATTCACAGGAAATCATTTTTGCAAACTTGTCAGTTTATTGAAAAGTGGTATACTAATCATGGTGCGTTTTTGGATTTTCTTTTTCTAGTTATGATTCAGAATATTCTACACATGAATTACAATTAGTCAATTACAATCACCACTAGTACCTATTTACTAATTTATGTAAGAAAGTATCATATTACCAAAGTACAGAAAACAATAGAGAAAAATGGACTAATACAAACACAAAATGAGGAAGGTAACTCCAAAACTGTGATACAGGTTTTTGCCTATGCACATCAATTCAGTAACACCCATGCACTTTTCAGGATAACATGAGGGTTAGGTACGTGAGAATAAATATTGTTGTACAAGTAAAACAAGAGTCTGCCGACACAAACAAAATTGAATCACTGAATCCAACAATGATGTGTTAGGTTTCTATAAAATTCCAAATGTTGGTCATGCCCAGTTAGTTTAGATGTCTTTAGGCTTTTGCTGTTTCCATTTCTTGTAGCACTAATTCATTTGGGATGCAGCCCACTGATGCAAAAGCACTAACTAGATAATCAGCAAAAGATACATAGTGGACTATGAGCCAAATAAACTCGAGAACACCAAAGCTCACCCTATTTTACCAAGCGCTGAGAAAATAGTGTGGGTGACCAGCGTGGAAGGTTTGGATGATACTCTTGTCTCTGCAAACCATCTGGAAGGCACACCACGGACAATAATGGTGTCTGGCCTTTTTGCTATCTTTCTCACAGGATTCCCTGATACCAGCAAATGTCAATCCCGACTCCACCTAAGCCGGCAATGCAATCAAGAAAACACGATACAGGAACCAGTTCATACTGCTATTCAGTAGCTCGGAGGAGTAGAAATCCTCCCATGTCTTCTTCATAGTTCTGAAGTCGTCGGACGACGGGATCTCAACGGTCATCCGGAACTTCACCCCCTCGAGGTTGAGCTCGATGCCTTCGAGCTTCTGGACCAGGGTGCTCCGCCACTCGAAGTACTTCTCCTCCTCCTGCTCCCGGGTCATCTCCTCGGCCTCGCCGTCGCCCTCGCGGGGGCGGAGGAAGGAGAGGTCGCGGACGTGGAGGACCCCAGAGGCTACGGGCTCCTCGCGGCGGCGTTTCTGGAGGTCAGGGAGGCGGCTCACGGAGAGGTCAGAGTCGGGGAGGAGCGGGAGGGAGAGAGGCGGGTCGCGGAGGAAGGCAAGGAGGGCGGACTGGAGCTGCCACTCGTCGAGGGGCCGGACGGTGAGGTCGGCGCGGAAGAAGGTGAGCAGAAGCTTGAGGCGCGGCGAGAGGGAGAGCCCGCTCGGGAGGGGAAGTGACTCCGTCGGCCGGAGAGCCGCGGCAGCGGACATGGTGGCGTGGTGGGTCGCGGCGGCGGCTGGCAGCCTGGGTTTGGGTGCGGCGGCCAGCTGACGGGTAGACGGGGAGGAAGGAGGACTTGACCGGAGAAGTCGGAGCGGATGGCTAGATCTAAAATCAACGCTCGCGATCATCGTTCAGTTTTACTATTTGAAATTAGGGTTATTTGATTTATGCCATTATAATTTTCGATGTTTGGAGAAACGCTATTACTATTCGTCTATTTTGAAGCATGTCATTATAATTCTTCGTTTCCCACAAAAATACCACTGAATACTTATGGACACAACTTTGAGCCCGGTTGCGGTATCTATCGAAGATATATACTTCATCACCCCCATCATCGACACGCAGGCCCCATATGTCATCTTCTTCTTCCTCCTCTTCTCCTCCTCTCTCTCCATCCCGACGTGGCCACGGCCACGCCACAGCAGCAGAAGCAGCTGACGCTACCGGTGGCAAAGCGGCAACAACACCGTCGGTCGTCCGCGAGCTCCACCGGCCGCCGCGTCCTCGGCCTCCGCCCGGCTGAGCTCCGCACCAGCGTCCGTCTGTTGCTTTCGGTATGGCGCTCCGTCGCCATTTGCTCTCGCCCATGGCACGCTGGGTCACGACACAATGACTCGTCGGCTCGCGCAAAGCCCGCATGCCCGTGGTGGCTGCGCGGGATGGAGAGAGAGATTTAGAGAGAGATGATGGAGAGGAAGAAGAAGATGATGTGGGGTCCGCGGTCGTGTCGATGAGATGAAGATACGTCAGATATGAATCGGTGCTCCAGCCGTGGTCCATACGTATTCAGTGGCATTTTTATAGGAAACGAAGAATTGTAATGGCATGCTTCAAAATAGGCGAATAGTAATGACGTTTATCCAAACATCGAAAATTATAATAGCATGAATCCAAATAACCCTTGAAATTAACACAAATATTTTTTTTCTCGAATACACAAAAAATTTGCGTATCATTGTAATTAAGAAGAAGAAGAGTTTAACCATACACACGACACGCTTTTAATGAGCGTCTTAGGATGTCTTACAATTGTGACAGGATTTTTCTAGCAAACTGTTTCAAACTTCGATATTACATAAAAGTAAACAACCGAACTAAGGGCAGCGCAGTAACCTATGGAGCTGGGCATCTCCGCTACTGGCCGCGCGACTCTGCTCTGTCATCCGAGAAGAGTCTTCCACCATTCGTTGCATTGGTCGCCGGAAACAGCACGTCCAATGCTTCCACTTCGCACGACATCAAGTTCTTTATGAAAAAGTCGTCGTTTCTATGTTCAAACCGGTTTAGCACAATGGTTTGAACAACACAAATATGATCCAATCCCTAGTCTACTTCCTTGCAAGTTCAAAGATAAGTAGACTTCCTTGCAAGTTCACAGAATAAGCTTATCTATGTACCGTCAATTCCTGTTGGTATGGTTCTCCTGTGTGGCTAAAATTCCGCAAATCTGGGGCTGGATCCACTTCGATTCATGAATGATTTGTGTGCAAGTCAATAATCCAGTGGAATATTTGGTATTCCAAGTTCCAAGGCATCATTGTACATAAACATAAGGGGAAATGCTTAGGTTTTCACCATGTAGAACTTATGACAACTTTCATATAAATCTAGAAATGCAAGACTTGATTTGCTCACTTTTGGCAATAGCTCTGTGCAATGAAAAAGCAAACAAAAACAGTCCCCACGGGCCACGGAAAAACCTTACAGCTTCATGCTCTGCTGAAACAACCTGCCATCAATTAATCATGCTAGTCCGCCCCACCTTTCCCAGGACAGGATCTGGAAGAGAAACATGCTGGTGCTCAAGAAACAATTAAACATGAACAGGTGAGCCATGACCGTATCATATAACAATATCAGAGCCTACAACCATGTGGGCAGTGCAGTGGTAGTGGCATACAGGCTGATGAGGTTCACAAATCACCACAGACATGACAGAACTTAGCAGAAATGATTACAGAACTTGACGCAGAAGTGACAGAACTGTTAGCAGAAATGATTACACAACTTGACACGGAAGAGGCACGATATGCACTATCTAAACTCCACAGAAGAACGGATCATTGCACATGAAGTCAGATGCCACTGTGAAATTCCAAACACGGCCTTCCTGTTCACCGAGCCAGGAAATCATATACCCGAGTTTGCTGCTTCCGCATGCCCATCTTGCATTATCTAGGGCTTTCATTTTGGCTGCCAGTTCTTCTGGTTCAGAGTGCCTTCGGAGTCCCATCACAAGAACCATTGACTCCAATACCTTGGCATTTTCAGCAATATACATAAGGAAAGCAAACTCATTGTCATCCCCATGAAACTCCCGGAGCATCAGTCTCTTGAGGCGTGACTGGACACACTTGATGGGACCAGCTTCTTCCCAAAACTTGACGTTCAGGCAACCAGTGGGCTCAGCAGGTTTTTCCGACTGAAATTCAAGTTCGCGAACAGAAACAGATCAGTCATTATATGCAACAACAATGTAGTGCTACAAAGTGGCTAGTGACAACAACGAAAATGCAATTACAGCAAAAGTTCGCGAACAGTTCACATTCTCTCCTACTTAAAAAATACGAGAGCAACTCGTGCCCCTTCGTCCGCACGTTGCCCTCAGCCCCACACCCATTTCATCCGTCGCTCACCCTCCATCCATCGATCCAGGGGTCAGTCGCTCCCCAATCAGCACCTGGGAGGCCGGGACATCGATCCACACCTGCTTGTGCCCCCCAATCAGCAGCTTGATCCACCACAAACTCTCTCCGGGTTCACCGCCGAGAGAACGCCCGCCTCGGACAGGATCCTCAACGACGTGTGCAAGTGCCGGTGACAGACAGTGGATAAGCGGCGGCGGTGTACAACCAAGATACATTGTAAGCACCCATTCCGAAACCTCCGCTCGTCTCGTGCTCTCCCGTCTTACTCCACTAAAGCTATACAGGAAGTGAAATAGGCAGCAGGAACAGCAGCACCTTCTCGCTCATGTGCAGACGGCCCTATGCCAAGGCGCTCTCGCATATCTTCTGGGTCCTGCATGCTAGGTGTTTGTTGGAATGCTTCTGTGACTGCCATATCACATTAATGCCAATTAAAACTTGGAATGGGACAAATTTTTGGTTTGTAGACTTTGCTACATCAGCTCTCAGGCCTGGATTTCAAATATGTTCAAAATATTGCCCGCTTGTAGGTGTGCAGAAACTAAGAAAAAAGAACACAGATGCTACATAAATGTCTTAGTCACTCTGGTAGCAAATAAATAAAACTGGATCAAGGAGGTCATGGATTATAATATTATTTCTTTGGTGTTTAATAGACGAAATACACGAGAAACTTCAGTATTGCAGTTTACACTATCATCAAGTAGGTCTGTATCAAAGTGAAAGACTGTTCTACTGTGACTAAGTGAATGATAGGTTGCAATTATGGCAGCTTTATTTGGATTAGCCAATTAAATAGAGAAAGAATAATGGTAGTGTAAACTGTAATGCTGAGGTTGATGTCCAGAAAATGTTGCTGATCTTCAGATCCAGAAGCAACAGAGATTTAGATCAGTCACATAAAAAAAATATTTATGCTATTCGTCCATTTTGTATCAGCCTAGCAAAGATTTAGATCCAGAAACTACTCTTGGTAATCACCTTCCCTCACTTCAACATAGATTCTTTGTATGTGACTGTTATGGATGTTATGCGGCTGTTGGGATTGAGTGTAGAAAGTTGAGGGGAGTGACGGCAGCTGCGCGCTACAGTACCCTCGGGTACTGTTCATGTGCTAGGGCTGCGAGGGCGAGAGAGGGCCGGCCGCGGGGCCTTTGCCCACGGCCGAGCAAGAGGGAAGGGATTTCCTTCTTAATTCTTGTTTGATTAGATTGATACATCTCCTCTCCTTATATAGAGAGGTTTACTTGACTTACAAACAAGGCTTACTTGACCCCTAAGCAAGCGACCCTTATCTCTAATTAATCCTAACACTAATGGGCTATACAGCCAGCCCAGGCCCAATAGGCCCCTGACGTACTCTAACAGTGACTGATGAATATCTGCTGAAGATTTTTGTAGTATTTCCTGTCTAACAACTTGTAGTGGTGGTTGTATCAAAAACATTCACAACAGCTGAAACAATGTTAAATGAACAAGTTCTTAAGGAGTGGATCGTTTCTTCTCTTGGGTTAGTTTAGTACCTGAAAATATATTTTCACCTGTTATCCCAACTTACTGTGATTTGAGTTATAAAAAATGTTCGTTCAGGCCACAGGTTGTTGCAAAACATATGATTGTTGACAGTACTAATCTTAAGATACTTATGGACCTTCTATTTTCCACCCAAGTTTTACTGAACTTGTTCTGTGTGAAGATGGATGATATTTAAATTTGAGTTGAGATGTATGGAATATTTCATATTTATCACATTATCTAATCTATTAGAATATTCAAATTTCATATTACTCAAGGTTTTGATTATGACTGTGTTGATGACTGAGAAATGTGCAACAACTAGTCCCAGTTGCAACTTCTACTGCAGTTGGTCGTTGAACAAAGAAAGGGTAATGTGCATTTGTCCAAATGCTGAGATTCACTAGGATTCTATTGAGCAAATTGTTACGGTGCCCTGTGGAATGCATGACATATCTCAGTTTGCGCTTTCTAAGTCCTCCTAACTCATGTATGAACCGTAGACTCTCAAGTAAGGTATGCTGCCATGTTGGTCTGAGAACATTCAACATTGTTAATGGATTACATTTCTTAATTTGTGCTTGTTTACACTCATGTACTCTAGTGTTAGAACTTGAGATGATGTCTTAAGTAGGAGAGGATGAGAGGTTTTGGCTCTAAGTAATTAATGCTTTAAAGCATGGTGACAGTCGTCTTAGCAAGTATTATCGCAAGTTGTATTGTGTTTTTGCCTAGTGTGGTTTTAGTCTTATTGGCTATCATCTTGCATTTGTATTTGTATCCACAATGACCAATTCTTAATGGTGTTATAACCTATTGATCAAGTGTTCTGCAGCAATATATGTTTTAGAATAACTGTTACTTTGTTCAAATTTTGTGTGCTCGTAGTAACGCATGGGCCATTAGCTAGTATATGCAACACCAATGTAGTGGTACAAAGTCGCTGGTAGCAACAACGAAAATGAAATTATGCAAATGCCAAGGAGATGTTGATTTTACCTGGATACACAGTGTTTCAACATTGGGAAAACATCTCAGAAAACTTGGCAGCATCTTGAGCTCATTGTGAATTCTGAACTGCAGGTGCAGTGCCAACATCCGCACGCTTGGAACAGCCGTTTTAGGACTTGGCTTTGTTCTTGACTGCAATGCACAAAATAACAAAACCATGACACTATCCCATTAGGCTCCTCAATTGGCACATGTCATTTCAATTATTAAAAGAAATGAAGAAAAATGGAAACTGGGACCTTGATAACGGTGTTGCCAATCTCTAGTACGTGCACTCCTGGCTCCAGGTAACCCAGCATTCTCAACTGAGGAGCATGGTCAATCTTGACTCTCACGCTTGAGCTTGGGCACCTCCAGATGAAGAGCCGCTCCAGACATGGGGCGTCCACTACCGACACGACACTTCTTCAACAATGCATAGACAGAACTGTGCGCAGCGTAGACTGTGGCTGGCAAGACGGGCGCACAAATCCTTCACACTTCCACTTCCAATAAAGGCCAGGATCTCAAGCACCGGACTCGCGGAGAGCAGAAAGTCGAGATCGCGGTCCTCCAGTGTGACGGCACCTAGGACGAGCTCCTGCAGACTGGGGAAGGAGGCGCCATGTGGGAGATTGGCTGTGTCGACGAACCTCCATGCACCAAGGTACAGGCGGCGGAGGGAGGCACAGCTGAAGAGCGCGGCGGGGATACGCAGGTCAACGAGGGGAGAGGGGCGGTTGACAAAGGCGAGCTCCTCGACGCCCTTGGTGGCGAGGAGCTGGAACCAGCGAGCGAGCACGGCGCGGTCTGCATCGATGGCTCCCATGAACTGGCAAGAGAGGCTGACGAAGGGGAACGGTCCAGGGTGCGCGAGGAGGGCGTCGGAAACGGCGCGGCGAACGGCGCGCGAGACGGCGCCAGGGCTCGGGGGCCGGCCCTCTGCGCCGCCGCGGGGGAGGAAATGGGTGTCGACGAGGACGAGGGGCGCCGAGCACCAGAGGCCGCGCCAGCGCGTGGAGAGCACGGCGGTGCGGGCGCCGTCCTTAGCGGGGAGGCAGGCGAGGACGCGGCGGAGGAGGTCGTCGGGGAGGCCGCTGATGCTGTCGACTCCATCGCCTTCCTCGGCGGCGGCGCAGGATAGGGTGGCGGCAACAGAGACCGAGGGCTTGGGGAGGAAGCCGTAGATGAAGTCGAGCACCGTGTCCTCGTAGACATCCAGCGTCCGCGGATCCAGCCCGTGTCGCATCAATGCGGGCGCTGTGTCATCCGTGCTCAGCGCACCGGACGGCGGCCAGCACATGTAGGCGGGGATGGGGATGCGGCCGCCGCCGCCGCCGCCGCCGCCGCTCATGTCGCAGGGTTTTGGGTGGCGACTGAAACAGAACTGAACTTGGAACTTCCCGGACCTGGGACTTGGGAGTAGAGTATGGCTGTATGGAGCAAGTATGGGTCTGGCTACTTCGGCTGGACCAGAGCTGAAAAGGTGGATGGGCCCGATAACACTCTATCGAAAGCTGAAAATGTCCTGGTATCTCGGCTCGAATAAGGAACACCCGAAAAATAAGGGTACAAAAAAACAATAAAAAAAAATAAAAAAAAATAAAGCACATATAGTGCTAAAATTTTCATCATGAAGAACCTATCATGAATGAATTTCATATGTGTATGGATGTTTAGTTTGTCATGAGAGTTATTATGCAACGGCGTCATACAGCAGCACTCAAAATGCTTTGCCTGATCGGCTCCCTTAACTTTTTAGTGTAAGAACTATCAGGGCAAATAAGAAAGGGGCTCTGTCATAGTTGGCAGCTCAGTCGGCGGACACAAGCGCTGCAAAGCATTTAATGTTTATATTCTTCTACCAAGCGCAAAATAAACCATATGATCAGATTTTATACTAGCAAAATACCTCTGGTCAAGCTGCTAGTACAGCCCCTGAGCATTAAAATACCAACAACCTTTTTCTACCACCTCCCATTCTTCCCGATGCGGCGATGCCTGCCTAAAATATTGGGAATTGCTATTAAACAGGCGCCCGATTTCTTCCAAAAGAACAGGCGATGTGTGCTGGCCAACGGTCATAGGCTTTCTTCTTTCTTCCGTCAGCTCAGCAGCAAAGCAGTAGGCCAATGCCCTGAACTCGTCGCCTGAGAGCTCAGGCAACTGAAATCTAGGAAATATGCAAAATATTTTGTTTGCTCATATTTTGTACCGGTGCAATGGCGCCTGTGATGATCGATATTTCAACAGAATCCTTCACAATGTACGCTACTGTTTCGTGGTCACCGATCCTCTATTAAGGACGGGCGCCGGCGAGGACGGCGCGGAGAGGTCGTCAGGGGAGGCTGATGCTGTCGGCCTTCCTCGGCGGCGGCGCAGGGATAGGGTGGCGGCAACAGCAGACAGCACTGCTCTTTGATCTCTGATTTGCATGTCCCTTATTACAAAAATGCGAAGCCGTACACCTCATCCTCGAGCATGCTTGCTCCTTCGATTTACACTTGCAAAGTTACACAGCCAGAAGCAGCTGCAGCAGCAGCTGCAGCGTGGGACTTGGGATCACGGCGAGCGACACACGGCCGGTTCATTGCCCTCTGCTATGGCACGCCTGCCTCAGCGCCACGGGCGGTTCCGAGAGCGCGCCGGCGACGATCTGGTCAAACACGAACCGTAGATGAAGTCGAGCACCGTGTCCTCGTAGACATCCAGCGTCCGCGGATCCAGCCCGTGTCGCATCAATGCGGGCGCTGTGTCATCCGTGCTCAGCGCACCGGACGGCGGCCAGCACATGTAGGCGGGGATGGGGATGCGGCCGCCGCCGCCGCCGCCGCCGCCGCTCATGTCGCAGGGTTTTGGGTGGCGACTGAAACAGAACTGAACTTGGAACTTCCCGGACCTGGATATAAACTGTTCCTAGCTGAGGTAGCTAGATTTCCATTAATCCATGAGTATGTGACCATGGGACTTGGGAGTAGAGTATGGCTGTATGGAGCAAGTATGGGTCTGGCTACTTCGGCTGGACCAGAGCTGAAAAGGTGGATGGGCCCGATAACACTCTATCGAAAGCTGAAAATGTCCTGGTATCTCGGCTCGAATAAGGAACACCCGAAAAATAAGGGTACAAAAAAACAATAAAAAAAAATAAAAAAAAATAAAGCACATATAGTGCTAAAATTTTCATCATGAAGAACCTATCATGAATGAATTTCATATGTGTATGGATGTTTAGTTTGTCATGAGAGTTATTATGCAACGGCGTCATACAGCAGCACTCAAAATGCTTTGCCTGATCGGCTCCCTTAACTTTTTAGTGTAAGAACTATCAGGGCAAATAAGAAAGGGGGCTCCGTTTGGCAGCTCAGTCGGCGGACACAAGCGCTGCAAAGCATTTAATGTTTATATTCTTCTACCAAGCGCAAAATAAACCATATGATCAGATTTTATACTAGCAAAATACCTCTGGTCAAGCTGCTAGTACAGCCCCTGAGCATTAAAATACCAACAACCTTTTTCTACCACCTCCCATTCTTCCCGATGCGGCGATGCCTGCCTAAAATATTGGGAATTGCTATTAAACAGGCGCCTGATTTCTTCCAAAAGAACAGGCGATGTGTGCTGGCCAACGGTCATAGGCTTTCTTCTTTCTTCCGTCAGCTCAGCAGCAAAGCAGTAGGCCAATGCCCTGAACTCGTCGCCTGAGAGCTCAGGCAACTGAAATCTAGGAAATATGCAAAATATTTTGTTTGCTCATATTTTGTACCGGTGCAATGGCGCCTGTGATGATCGATATTTCAACAGAATCCTTCACAATGTACGCTACTGTTTCGTGGTCACCGATCCTCTATTAACGGACAGGCAGACAGCACTGCTCTTTGATCTCTGATTTGCATGTCCCTTATTACAAAATGAAGCCGTACACCTCATCCTCGAGCATGCTTGCTCCTTCGATTTACACTTGCAAAGTTACACAGCCAGAAGCAGCTGCAGCAGCAGCTGCAGCGTGGCCATCACGGCGAGCGACACACGGCCGGTTCATTGCCCTCTGCTATGGCACGCCTGCCTCAGCGCCACGGGCGGTTCCGAGAGCGCGCCGGCGACGATCTGGTCAAACACGAACTTGTTGGCGGCCTCGGTGAAGTGCACGCCGTCCCAGCTCACCCTCTTGGAGGGGTCCTCGCACGACTTCCCCACCACCACCGACGTCCCGTTCACCTGCTTCTTCCCGCCGCAGCCGATGTTCAGGTCTAAGTTGTACCGACCGCCGCCATGCCCGCAGCAGGTCAGCAGAGGGTCGTCGAAGCCTGCATCACAGACAATACAAACATGAGCTCCCCCGCGCGTGGAAACGTTCAGAGCCTGCATTACACACAACACCAACGTGAGCGCCTTACCGAGCTTCTTGGCCTGGCTGATGAGCTTGTACTTGGCGGTGTAGACGTCGACGTAGGTGAACGCGGCGTCAGGGTGCGTCTTCCGGAGGCTCGCCACGGTCTCCTTGAGCCTGAGGTTGAAGAGCTGCGCGACCTTGTTGTAGGTGACGGAGCAGCCGGTGCCGTCCGCTGGAGTGGTGAGGTCAGGGCGGTGCAGCAGCGCATAGGGCAGGCAGCCGAGCGGCCCTGTGTTGTGGATCCAGAAGTACCTTCCTCCACGCGAGTACACGCTCTGCAAATTTGCATATATTCAGCTAATGAGCAGATCATCCATGGAACGGTGTGTGTGCTACACCTTTCAAAGAGCAACTTGATGCCGCTCTGTCAAAGAGCACCTGGATTATAGATGTGAGCCTCTCCATCAGATCAGGGATTATGGCTTCGACTTCTTCAGTGCTATTGTTAACAAAGTAGCTTGAGGTGATGTCGTTTTGCCCGATGTCGAAGGTGTAAAGTGCCTGGGAGAAGTACTCTGCCCTTGGTAGGATCTCCCTGTAGATACCACCTACATGCAAAAGATAAAGTGTTTTAAAATAAGTTTTTAATGGAGTGAAACATAAACACTATGGAGCTTGGTGTGGTACTGAATACTGATAGAGATGGTTTTGGGGTTACTGTTGTCACCTTTGCTGTTGTACACGAGTTGGCTTCTGTTGATGAATTGTTCAAACTCCCAGAACTGCACGTCCAAGGAAATGGGGCTGAAGCCAGAGAGGAACAGAGATGTATTCTGTCTTCTGATTGACGAACCAGCCGTTGCAAAATTGGCTCCCTGTGTGAAGTTGCTTCCAATTGAGTTCAGGTACGCGCTGAGGTGAGTTAGTCCCAGGCTTTCAGCTGCAATTCGGGGAAAAAAGATAAAGAGTACATTAAGAAGCACCATTTTGTCATTTGATCGCTGATGAATAACTGTCTTGGCACTAGTCTATGGCAAAACAACTCGACGCTTTATAATCAGTACATTCCAGTTGGCAGTCTAGTGACAGAAGACATTTTTGTTACCAGTTGACATTCAGTGCAAAATACAAATTGCGAGGTGCATGAATTTGGCCAAAAACAGTGAAGGCATCAGAAAATTGAGTAGAAATATAGCACAAGGTAGTTTCATACAAGTTGAAGCCCCAAATTCTTGTGTATTCAGTTTCTAACTGAATTCCTGCATTTCTAACAGGACCTGCATGCATGTATTTTGTATCACTTCCTACTGTATGCTGTTCAGATTCTAGTGTTATATATACCCTTTAAACTACCAAAGGACAAGTTAAGAAAAAGTTAGTGTCACACTTTATCCTTCAACTCTGGTCACAATCTATAAAGTGAAGCATCCATATTTGATAAATATTCCTCCACTGCCACCCAAATCTGATCCCTGATCGTCCCCTCCTCATGCCTCTTTGCCCCCCACTATATTTTCACATACCTACCAGAATAGGCTAATGCTTCTTTCTGTCCTTCCCAGTATCAGCATCATCCAAAAAGGCTATTGAAGTTCGTCTAAAATAAAAAGCTAAGGGGCCACTTGGATCCCTTTAATGGATTAGGCTATTTGGCTTGGAATTTGGCATTCCATAACTTTTCCAAGCTCACAAATAAGCCTATCTCAAATTCATAGGGTGTGAGATGAAAATTAATTCTATAAATCACCATGTCATATTTTCACTCTACAACTTATAGCCTGCTCTTCAATTCGCTTCTTTATAGTAGAGATGCAATATATAAGTACCTACCTTATAGGCTAACAATAGTATACAAATATATTCCATATACAACCATATTAGCTTAATTAATATGTCTCTAAATTGTAATTATTAGAGTGAATTCAATTCCAAGAATCCAAACATGGACGGATCTATATTGAGTGTTGTGGGTGCTGCCGCACCCACGTAAAATTGAAAAGATGGTAGAATGAGTCAAATTTTCACCATATTTGCACCCTCACGTCATAGATGCTTGCATCCATAAGGCAAGGCGCACCCCTTGGATTTGCTATAGCTCGCCCCCGGATACAAACGGTCCTAAAGTAAAATCGGCATCCGCATTGGCAGACCAACAGGGATCGCCATTGGTCGTATCTCGGCAGTGGCCTATGATCGTGTGCAAAGATGCTTTGCGCAAGTCACTGAACTTTTTGTCAGATTGTTTGGAATAAAACCAAGATCGTGTCGGCAGGCAGCTCAAAATAATCACAGGCATGCTCACGTGCTGGATGGAGACGGGGACGCGCATCACAGGCACGCCCGCACGCGCACGGGCCGGTCGAGCTCGGATGGAGCCCATGCTCGTCCGGCACATGGCCTGAGACGGTGTTACAGGAATTCAGGGTCATGGTCTCTCATGTCAGGGACTCGGGGTTGGCTCGTTTGGGGTCTCCCATGCGAGCTGAGTTCATACGCGAACCAACCAAGCATGCCTGGTTAGCATGCCCGTCTGCTTCTGCTTGCTCGGTTCGGCTCTGCTCGTTGCGTTCCAGCCGAGACGAAGTGAGAAACAGATGGTAGTAATTGGTAACGAAATTTTTCCAAAAAAAAAATCTGTAACGAAAATTCTATGTTGTACGTACTACGTACGTGATAGAGAGAGTCCTTGTTACATTTTACTGCTAACTTTATCTTCGCCGCAGGACCAAAGGGCAGGACGAATTAACGCTGCATTCATTGGTCCCGGCAAGCGAAGGCTGTTTTGGGTGTGTCAATCGATGGGCCCGACGCGCAGTGCAATCATAGCCATGAGTGAGAGCAGGTGAAAAGTGAACAGTGAGCAGTAAAATCCCCCAGCGCAGACCGTGTTCATGGCGGCGGGTTCAGCGGCCGAGTGGTTCGGGAGCAGGCGAGACGTACGAGTACGAGCGTGCACGTACCGATGAAGTCGATGACGAGGCGGCCGTCGCAGTAGCGGCCGGCGGGCATGCCGAAGAAGGTCCTGCCGTTGGGCGGCGGCGCGGCGCCGAAGAGCGACGACAGCCCGCCCGTGTCCGAGTTGGAGTCGCCGAAGTTGAACACGGCCGGGAAGTGGCAGTCGCCACCAGCGCCCGCGCCGGCGCCGGAGGCCCGCAGCGCCAGCGAGAGCAGCAGCAGCAGCAGCAGCGCGGTTGCTCTGCTCCCCGCGGTGGCAGTCGCGGCCGTGGCCATTTCCCTCTCCCTGCGTGGCTGCGTCGCGTCGCTTGTGGCGACACTGTGGGGGGCGGGAGGAGACGAGGAGTGAGACTCGCGGTGCGCGGTGGCGGTGGACTGCTGGAGTAATGCGTCGTGGGTTTGGAGGCGGATGGGGACTGCTCAGTGGATGGATAGAGATATCAGATATCTGAGATATGGGCCGGCACGCACGCGGTGCCGTGGCGGCGTGGCGGGCGCGCGCCCGAGCGCGGTGGGAAGAGACGGCGGTGACGTGACGGTGCGGCGCTCGCCTTCTCGGAGAAGGGTGTGCCGCGTTTCCTGCTGCTGGTGGAGCACGCAATAATGTGTGCTCACGAGTCACGAGTGCTCGTGCGGTGCGGCGCGGGGCTTGGACACATACGCACGCGGCACACACATTAGACGAGCATCCCAGATAGGAGTAGGAAACACGGTGGCCCTGAGCTCGCGAAAGGCGGGGAAACGGGGAGGCTTGGATCTGAAGCAAGGCAATCAGAAGTAGGGTTGCGCATTAGCCGGAGTTCCTGACAGCAGCCCTGGAAACCACCGTGCCAGCATCGATAGGTCATCACAGTGTTTTTCAGTCATATTCGTTTCTTTTATAATCCGTCTTTTTCAAACATATTTTTAGCAAGAACAGTGTTTTTCTCCCACAATAAATCAGCCGTCATCTTGCTTTTTCAGCGAAGCGAACGGGGCTGGTATAAAAGGATGGTGGCATGGCATGAAATCATCGGGATTCGGGACGGAGAGTGTAGAAGCAAACTTTCGGTGAAGTGGCTGTCACGCAGAGTCTAGTAGCGCTGCGCTGTGTACTGTGTTCGATGGGCCGTGACTTATTTGATGCTCATGGTCCTGGATTATGCTAGTCTTTGTATTAGTCAACCATCAGACTTTGATGTTTAGTGTGCGGGGCCCTTTTAGGCCCTGAAAATGGAAGTGATGGGCTGATGGTCCATTTTGAGCTTTGCGATGTTGTGTAGCATAGCATGAGTAACTCCAGTGAAGGAGATAATTGAAGCGTGGGGGGAAAAACCCGAACCGAACACACTGGACCATTCGGCTCTTGGTTGTTAGAATGGAAATTGACCTTCTAGTTTGGTGCGAACCATAGCCAGAGAGCGGGTCCCGCAGAGCCAAGAAGCCACACGAAAGGAATCTGCTTTTTCCTAACATTGTTTACATTGCAACGATTTTAATCGGCAACTCAGTCATTGAACTTCGACTCCTTGGTTCGACGTAGCATTGCATGTGCCCTAAGTGCATAACCTGATCTACCTTGATTTGCTTCAAAGTTCAAAACCGAAACTTTGCGTTGCATCCATATAGTAATCGGTTGCATACGCTGAACTAGGCAGGTAACTATCAAGCTTGCAATTCCATTCCGATGATCATTCCGGTTTAGCATTTGGAATGATATGTTCCGATACCCGTGCATTCTGGCGTACCATTCCAGATTTCATTATTTTATAAATATTTAATATTGTATATGGAGTACACACAGTAAGTAGCTAAAAAAATAATAAGAACATTTTTTAGCAACACTAATAAGAACATATAAATAAAAGAAATAGATGACAGGTTAGTTGCATGTTGGGCTAATCTAACTTATGACGGGCCTGTGCTAACCCAATTCAGCGGTGCCTGTTTAACGGTACGGAATGGGAGTTGCTGTGTGCTGATGTTTAGTTCCCAAAATTTTGCAAAATTTTTAAAGATTTTTCGTCACATCGAATATTTAGACGCATGTATGAAGCATTAAATATAAATAAAAATAAAACTAATTACACAGTTTAGACAAAATTCACGAGACGAATCTTTTAAACCTAATTAGACTATGATTGGACACTAATTGTCAAATAACAACCTACAACCTACAGTACCATTTAAAAAAAAATCGCCAGCTTAGCAAGGCCCCGGCTGACGCGGCGGTACAAGGCGTTTCGTCCGTTCTGGCCGGTACCGGAATGGAATTTAAACTATGGTAACTATGGCCATGCTTGTTTCAGCGTTCTCTCGTAGCGGGTCATGGAGAAGCAAGAAACTAGGCACCCAGCGGGAGCCGCGTCGTGTGTTTGTAAAATTTTGTTTTTTTCATGTTGAGCGTGCTACAGAGAAAGCAAGTTCTTCATGAGGATGCAAGCGGACTTTGGGGATATTTGGATCGAGCGACTAAAGTTTAGTTCTATCACATCGAATATTCGGATGCTAATTAAGATGACTAAATATTAACTAATTATAAAACTAATTACATAGATGGAGCCACGTCGTGGTGGGAAAAGGAGGGGATATCTAAACACCCCTCCGTGAATCCGTAAATAGACTTATTTTTGCGGGTTCCTTAAAAGCCCACAAAAGTTAAACCTATTTATAAGCTCATGGACATGCCCACTTGAATGTTGGGTGGCTTTTAGCCGATTCTTGCGTAGTCGCAGCGGATAAACCAAACTTCAGAACCAAATATGGCCCCAATTCCATTCCCGCGTTCGTTCACGGCTTTCTAATCTAGCGAACGATCAGAGCCCACACGTCTCCATCATGGGTCATGCTACTGCTGCTGCATTGCATGGTGTAGATTCGCTGCGGTATTTGTTGGCCGTAAATAAAAGAAATTATGGAGTAACCACCTTGCATGCACATGCATGTCTTTTTAGATCACTACTAACTGCAGGTGCATTCAGCTTTCTCTTTTTTTATATATTTTTTACTTTTTTCTTTTTTATTTTTTATACAAGTTATTTCGTATACAGTTTCGTATTCCTGCTAATATGTTATTATATTAATTTATACATCTAAATTTTTTAATATAAATTATATGTCTAACTTTATGTTTAAGTCATTCCTCAAATATTATCTAAGTTATACAAGCAAGTTATACATATAATTTTTCTTTTTTTTTAGAAAGTTACTAAGTTATACACATAACTTTATGCTTAATTTATTACCCACAACTTATAATCACAATTTTACAATATAACATTTTGCAGAGCAGAACTTATTAGCACAAGTTTTTATCAGAACTTATGTTGGGTAGTATAGGCAAGTTGTATAGAATAACTTACGTACATAAATTGTAGAATAACTTATGAACATAAATTGTGTTTCATAATTTTTCTACATAAGTTGTGTTTTCATGACTTTTGTGTTTTCAAGTTTTGGCATAAGTTATAAGTTAATTCATTCATTTGTGTTTTAAGTTTTTGTCATAAGTTATAAATTAATTCGTTCATTTGTATTTAATAACTTTTGTATATAAGTTGTGTTTAGTAACTTTTATATATAAGTTGTAAGTTATAAGTTAATATGTAATGTAAATTGCTACTAGAAAAAAAATCTTCGAAACATATACAAGTGTGGTCTAGTTTTGTTCGGCTCGTCACGTAGAATACATCGGTGCAGACGGAATTAAAAACGGATACACTGTTCAGAAGTTATAGTATTTTAAAATAAATTGTTTGTTTTTTTTTTCCTGGATGATGTTACAGCCAGACATGCAGGCGCATGCGCTCGACGGGAGCATGCAACAACCTTTTCGAAAAAAGAAAAATATACTATGTCGGAATATCGATCGCTCATTTTCAATCCGCTGATCGGTCGCGGCTCCTCTTGGTTTTAATTTGCATTGTTGGCACATATACAGTAATGGAGAATTTGGAGGGGAAAAAAAAACTCCCTCCATTCTCAAAAGATTGTTGTTTTAGCTTTGAATATAGTTTGTCCAGGTTTAAAATCGGTCTTTTTTGGAAGGGAGGATGAATGAGGTAATGGAGAACTTTTCTGTGTGGCGAGGCTGCCGTTGGACGGGGGTAGCAATGGTGAGGGAGGAAGGGCGTGGCGAGGTTGAAGGCCGGTCGCGGCATAACAAAAGAAATAGTGAAAATTCGCAATCGGCCACGTAAGCCGCCGTGCCGTGGTTCAGACGAACGATATCCAACTCCAAACGGGGTAACGTGCCAAAGACGAGGCCACGAGGGAACGCCACACGCTCCCCGACCTCGGCGTCGCCCGGGCCAAATGGCGGCTCCATCCGCTTCCGCCCCCTTGCTCCGCTCCCACCCCCACCGCGGCTCGCTCTTCCCCTCGTCGCCGCGCCACCGTCCCGCGGCCGCTTCCCTGCTTGGGTTCCCTCCCCGCAGACCTGCCTCCTCCCGCAGGTTCCCATACACCGCGGTGAGGTCCTCCTCCACTGCCTCACCCTCGGCACCTGTAGAAGAGGCTCCCGCGGCCGCGGCCCCGACCGGAGACGCGGAGGAGGAGCGGGTGGTGCTCCCCACCAACGAGTCCTCCGAAACCCTGCTGCGCATCCGGCACACCGTACTGCCTCTCCCCTTCCCCCCCTACGTTACAGTGCTTGAACTGGCATAATTGTATGCTTATTAAATTAATTTGGTCTAGGTTCTCATCAAAATCCCGTCACTCTAATACGTGTATAATTGTCTCGTCAAAACTATAAACATCTTAGTGTCATTCACAATTGTTGCTGTAGTGCGCCCATGTGATGGCCATGGCTGTCCAGAAGCTGTTCCCCAACTCCAAGGTGACAATAGGTCCCTGGATAGAGAATGGTTTCTACTACGACTTTGACATGGAGCCCTTGACGGATAAGGACCTCAAGAAGATTAAGAAGGAGATGGTGAGTCTGCATTTCTGCATTGAGCATGTGTGATTGACCTGAACTGCGGAGTGGTGGTTTTGATTTGTCAATTTGGTATGTTCAATTGTTGATAGGATCGGATCATCAGACAGAACCTCCCGCTGGTGAGGGAGGAGGTGTCCCGAGAAGAGGCTCAGAAGAGGATCGAAGCACTCAATGAGCCTTATAAGTTGGAGATTTTGGAGAGCATTAAGGAAGAACCAATCACAATATACCACATTGGTTAGCCTTATAAATTGGTGACTTGGAATTGGATATATTTAAAGAAGAGACTTTCCCGTCGTGATTGGCTTATTTATGATAGCATGTATTGATGATATCCTTCATGTCATGTAGGAGAAGA